CTAGGCCCATCTTGGTGAAGATCTCCAGATACAAGATGTTGACGCTGCTCCCGGTGTCCACCAGGATTCGTCGAACCACGGGTGGAGGCCCACTCGTGGCCCCACCCGCGGGGTACAATGTGGATGTTGCCTGGGGATTTGTTCCCCGTGATTCTTTTGACTCGGTAATTGATGTTTGACCTCCCGATGTTGTTTTATTGGGCTTTTTGAGTGTCTTCTTGATGTTTCGTACGTCTAGAACGGTATGTTAGGAATCCATGTAGGATTTGGAGTCTTGAATCGTGCTAAGTGTTCAACTTTGTGATTCGTTGGACCATGATGAGTCTTGTATGTTCTACGGAACTATGTTTTGTTTACCCGTTTGATAAGCATGCTAGTTTGAATGTGTGAATGTCTATTTTTTTCTGATGAGTATGTCGAGTGGTATTCTACTTTGTGATCAGTAGAATACGCCTCGAGTTGTATTTGTTTACTGTTGTTGTTCTTGTCTTGTTGTTGTCGTGGGATGTTGATTTCCCTTGTTTCCTTTGAGAGTGAAAAAGAGTCTTTGCAGTTGATTTCTCTCTATGACGTTTGAACTGATATATACTGTATTCCGTTTCGAAAATGGTTTTGTTTTATACTATCTATATATGCTATTTAACACGTATTGATGGGTTACCAACAATGTTCGCTAACCGGACGTCGTCCCCTTTCTCTATGTTGCTTTACAGGTCTTGAGTAGCCTTTGGAGTGCACGCTAGCTGTTGTTAGATAGTGTAGCTCCCTTTTGACTGTTTAGTTAGTGTTTTGGGCCTGTGAGCCATGGTCTGTATGGATATGATTAGTAATTTTGTTTAGACTAGCATTTGCATCCGCATTGAGGTGGATGTGGCATATCACTTCCCGTTTTTCCCGTTATTAAGTAAAGTCTTCCGCTGATGTTTAAGTTTATGCTACATGTTAGTTACCTTGCCTTATGAATTTAAGTTTTTAAATTGTCGTGAAAATCGGGGATGTTACAGACGGGGAGTATAGTCCCGCCCCGTTGCCATCCCTAGGAGGATCATAACGATTATAACAAGCCAAAGCTGAGTGCCCCGTATGACCATAGATCTGAAAGACCGGCGGTCCGCCATTACCGTCGCGTCCATGCTGTCCACAACGGCCAGATTGTGACCTGCTGCCGCCACCTCCACGCTGGCCACCGCGGCTTCCACAGCGAGTCTGCCCGCCTCGCTGGACGGCGAAGGCTACTGGTGGAGCTCCAGGGGCCGTACCACGGATGAACTCCTGAGCACCAAGAAAGTCGACCAGCTCGCCTAGGGGAGAAAATTTCAATTTTGGTCCACTGACTATTGGAGTTGTGTTAATTCATAATTGCAACACTTGACTTTCAAAAATATTAATTTAGTACCTTGACTATGCAATTTTTATCAATTTTGGTCACGCCGCCCAAATTGCCGGCCAAATCTCATCGGAAAAAATTTAATAAGTCAAATAATGAGGGTATTTTAGTCATTTTACTCATCTTTTCTTTCTTTTCCTGTGAGCTTTTCCATTTCCGGCGACGATTTTAATTTTCTTCTCCTTTATTCTATAGAAAGTGAAATTCAGATGGATGTACTTCCACTAAGCCAATTCAAGCACATATTTCGATCCCTCCATCTACTCGTAGTCGTCAAGGCAGCAGCTGTACATGAAGAACTTCTCCATGGTGCGACCGCACTCGACACAAGCCACGGTCTCCGGGAAGTGTCCGACGGCGGCCGGGCACAACCATGCGAGTGCAGTGGTGCTTAGTGTGGAGCCCACGGAGCTTCCTGTCCAGCTCCGGAATAAACGCGGTCATGTTGGTGACTTCGTGCTTCCAGTTTTCGAAGTTCCTGAGGACTTGCATCACGTTTTTGCCTTCCCCTTTGGTCATCTCCTCCAGCCCTCGGCTGAAAACCACCCAATCGCGGTTGCTTCCGTCGTAGCTAAGGATAGCCTTGACTTCCTGAAGATGGAGAAGAAAATTAAAATCGTCGCCGGAAATGGAGAAGCTCACCGGAGAATAAAGAAAAGATGAGTAAAATGACTAAAATACCCTCATTATTTGACTTATTAAAATTTTCCAGTGAGATTTGGTCGGCAATTTGGCCGGCGTGACCAAAATTGATAAAAATTGCATAGTCAAGGTACTAAATTAACATTTTTGAAAGTCAAGTGTTGCAATTAACACAACTCCAATAGTCAGTGGACCAAAATTAAAATTTTCTCCGCCTAGGGTTACGGTACCGCGAACAGAGAGAGAAGCGGTTAGATTTTGAAACTCTGGCCATAAACCCCGAAACACATAAAGATTCATCTCGTCTAACCCGACCAGCCTACCAGCCAAAGAAAAATCCTCCAAAATAACACGAGCACGGCCAATATAGTCAGCAACCGTGGAATCTCCCTGGCTCAGAGACTGGAGTTGGCCAAGGAGATTTAATGAGCGGGTGCGAGATGCAGAAGCCAAAGACTGTTCAATTGACTCCCAAACCTCTCGTGACGTACGACGTCCAACGGCGAGGTGCATAACTTCTTCATTGAGAGAAGAGTTCAACATAGACATAAGAGCCCGATCATGCCGAAACCACGTGGCATGCTTGGGATTTGGGGCCGGCGAGGCACCGTCGACGGCGGGGAGGAAGGACGCCGGACTGAGATGAGATCCATCTACAAATGGCATGAGACCATGCCCATCAAGAAACGGAATGACTTGAGTTCTCCAAAATAGATAATTTTTATGGGTAAGCTTAATACTGATAAAGTGATAAGCAGTAGAAAGCGAAGAAACAACAGAGCTAGCAGAAGACATGATAGCTGCATTAGAAACGGTCCGTTTGGAGGAGTTAACAGATTCGTCAGCCATTGGAATAGAGGAAAAATCCCTAGCTTAACTGATACCATATGAGAACTATAGGAAACTGTATATTATGAACTGTAAATACAATATACATGTAAGGGGAATATATATACAAGAGGAATCATATGGAAACTAGAATAGAGAGTCATACTATGACTCAAATACAAGAATCCTAATACTAGTCTTAATAGCGAAAGCTTTTGCAAAAAAAATCACCCCCATATCAGTGTTGAACTTGAGCATGAGTTCTTCACTGTACCAAAAACTTGGAAAGATCTACTAGTAGGGATACTCTGATAACCCATATGGGCTGTTAGGTATCACATGGGCTGACAGCCCATATATGTATAAGAGAAAATTAATTTTTTTTGGATGTATTATACAACTTCGATTATAAATATGCCCATTTGCATTCGTAAATTTAAACAGAGCATATTGTATCCCTTAATTACATATTTTATTTATCTCATTTCCAATATGGCAACTTCGTTTTTTTTTTTTCAACTTTCTAAAATTTCAAAGTTTTTATCACCGTGTTATGGAAGTGATAGCAATGTTAATGACTTTCAATTAAATCTCGCGAATGTATTTTCAATCCAAGAGATGGAAATGCTGATTCATTAGGAAGAGGAAGCGACCGTGGTTCTGGTGGCGGGTATCCTTGCAGTGTACTTGGAGCGACCACGGTTGGGTTCCGGATCAGATTTCTCTTGGTGACTTGTCATTGGGTTGCACCTTTGGGCTTGGTTGCTCCCTTCCTGTTCATTGTGTTTCTTTCCTCGGAGGTGTAAATAATCTTCAGGGAAGGACAATATCAAAAAGGGGAGGTTGGTGGCCGAACTTTATGCAAATCGGACTAGGGTTGCACTCGTGTGAGGCATGAGTTTGGCTCTAGGGAATTCAAAGTCTAATCCTTCAGACTTCCTATTTTCTTGACAGTTTGCTCGTGCAAGGCATCAAGCGGATGTGCCCGATCAGTTTGCATAAATATATTTGGATTTGAGTTCGAAGACCGGCTCACGTTTTATAGTAAAAACATAAAAAGAAATACGGCACTCGGATTCATATTTTTTCGTTTATTTATCTTATTCCATTTAGAGCTTTTGCTCAAAAAATTGATGTATCGTACATTTGTAATTTCCGAAAATGAAAAGTGTAATCATATACATTTATATAATTATCAAGTTTTGACTTCTGAGTTTTTGTACTACATGAATTATTTATTCACAAATATTATGTTTAAATACCTGTATATCATAATGAAATGTCATATCGAAATTACATGCGCATTGAAAAATATAACCACAAATTACAAGCAAAATTTGTAATTCGTGACTAAATGTTGTCTTATCTTTACCTTTATATAGTTTGATATACAACAAACATCTCTGAGTTTCTTATTTTATTTTGAATATTGTTCTCAAATTCAACTTCATATTGTCTGGTTAAATACACAAATATTTCTTGTTCTCAAAGTGCTTGGTTGTGGACTTTTGGGTAACGAGACGCATATCTGACTTGCGTATAGTTGAAAATGCAAGTCCGCCGACATGCGTAAATTACCCCGCATTTTTCATGCGGTTGATAAATAGAACACTCAAAAGACCCCATTTATTTTGATTTAGAAAGAACCTGCCGCTGTAATTAGTGAAAGGAGTGAAAAACTGACATGCGTGAAGGAACGCTGGACTCCGGCAAGAATATTCGCATTTGAGAGATGCTTTTCTCGTATTATATGAGAAACACATTTTCCTACTGCGGATTGTGGTCGTCGGACATCGAGATCCGTATTTGAAAAATACGTTTTCACATAATATACTAGAATCCCGTTTTCAAAATGTAAATAAAGCCCCTTAGCAAAATACGTAAGCCGCATTTAGTGTTTATACGTCAAATGCATTTTCCAAATACAATTGCTTCCAAAAATAAAAAACTTCCATTCGAGTTTGGGAAATGCGTTTCTCAGTACAACCGCACTTCCCAAACTCAATTTTCACATGACTATCCATAAATAGTCAACGTCCTGGCGGGTGTAAAGGGTGGTATGGGCAGAAGATGCATAAAATAGGAAAAGTAATAAGACTTACAAATTCCTTTCAAGCTAAGAATTGAAGAAACAAACCAAGAGAGAGATCAGATTAGATGGCTTGTGTTGCTTTAACTTCTCTCATTTCCACCATTGAGCTTGAATTTCTGAAACCCACCTCGAGGGTGAGGGAGTCTCTCCGTGATGGAGCACCAATCAAGTCTTTGTTTGCAACCTTTTCTTCTTGGAAAGTCATTCTCCAGAAGGAATCCAGTGATGCATTGAAAGATTTGGAATTCCAAATCAGAGACTTTGCCCTCAAAGTTGAAGATGACATCGAAATACAACTTAGCAACTTTCTTCTAGCCAAAGACACGGAGCATGAGGAAGAAGCTTCCCAGGAACTCTGTCAAACCTTGCAAGAAGCTGCCGAAATTGCGGCAGAGATTTCCGACAAAGAGGAACTGCGTGAGAGAGAGAGGGAGGTGACTTGTAATGCTTTAACTTCTGTCATCTCAACCATTCATCTTCCATATCTACAAGAACACCTTTTGGAGAGACGGTCTCTCCATGATCGATCACAAATCATATCTTTCCTTGCAAACCTTTCTTCTTTCCAAGCCTTTCTCCAGAAGAAGAAGAAACCCAGTGGTGATGATGGTGGTGCACTCAGAGATTTGGAAATCAAAATCAGAGACTTTGCACTCGAAACAGAAGATGCCATCGTGTATCGAGAAAATGATCCCCATCAACTCGGTCAAACTTTGCGTGAAGCTGCAAAAAATGCAACAGATCTGTTGAAGATTCTAACCGGGGAAAGAGTGTCGTATGTAAGTGATAGAGAGATGGCTAGTGCTGCTTTAACTATTCTCATTGCAAAATTTAAGTATTACTATTTGCAAACCTACCCACCAGTGTATGTTCGTGATAAAGCAACAATGATATATTTCTTAGCAAACCTTTATTCTCTGCAAGTCTGCTTAATGCAGATGAAATCCAATGATGGTGCTGCAATCATAATCAGAAGCTTTACACTCAAAGCTGTAAATGACATCGAAATACAGCTAAAAACATTAGTTGTAGGGAAACCTGCTGAGCGTGAAAGAAAAGCTTCCCAGAGACTCCATCAAACCTTGCAAGAAGCAGCTGAAATTGCAGCAAAGTTGTTGAAGATTATCCACGAAGAAGAACAGCATGAGAGAAATAGGGTGATGACTTGTGGAATCAAATCCACTTTATTGGAACATTCTTCTCTGCAAGTCTTTCTGAGATTAAATACTTTCATGACAAAATTTTATTATGACTTTTTGCATTCCACCCCTATAGTGCCTCTTGATGATGAAGCAGCAATGATATCTTTCTTCCAAAACCTTTCTTCTTTGCAAGACTACTTGCTACAGAAGGAGTCTAGTGGTGGTGGTGGTGGTGCTACAATCAATGATTTGGAAACTGAAATCATATGCTTTGTAATCAAGGTAGCAGATGACATTGAAACACAAGTACAAAATTTAGTTCAGGCCAAGCATGACACTGAATATCAAGAACAAGCTTCCCAGCTAAATCAAACCTTGCAAGAAGCAGCTGAAACTGTAGCAGAGTTGTTAATGAGTATCAACAGTGAAAAAGAGTGTAAAACTGAGGTAGAGATAGCTTGTGTTGCTTTAAGTAGTCTCATGGGAACAATTGAAGAGTTTCTATATGCTGAAGTAGAAACGAAATCTTTCCTGAAGTCTCCTCATGATAAAGCAGGAATCAAATCTAATTTATTGGGAAAGCTCTTTTCTTTGCAAGTCTTTCTGCAGAAGGAATCAAATGGTGGAGGTGCTACAATGAAATATTTGGAAACTAAAATCAAAGACTTTACACTCAAAGCTAAAGATGACATCAAAATACAACTGTACAATTTTCTTCAGGCCAAAGACACAGAGTATGAAGAAAAAGTTTCCCAGGAACTCCATCACACCATGCAAGAAGCAGCAGAAAGCGCAGCAGAGTTGTTGATGATAATCAACAGTAGAAGCAATGAAGTTGATGACACAAATGAAACTCAACCTTCCAATACTTGGTTAAAACATGCCTCCAGGTCTGCGAATGTTGAGTCTGATGGATCCTCGCATGGCCTTCTAATGCATGGGGGCAGAATGGTTGGTCGTCACCATGATTGTAGAGTGATAAAGGACCAACTATTTAGTTCTGAAGAACTAAAGGTAATCTCAATTGTTGGAATGGTGGGTATTGGAAAGACTACTGTAGCAAAAAATGTCTATGAAGATCCATCAGTTGCATCACATTTTGATGTAAGAGGTTGGGTTACTATACCTCAAGACTACGATAAGAGCCGAATGCTAAGCGACCTTCTTCAGTCAATTACGCCAGCAGAGCGAAATGTAATTAAAAAGAGAGGCACTCCAGATGAACTAGAAATGCAGGTACGTGAATGCTTACGTCGTTGGAGGTATTTAATTGTTTTGGACAACATTTTAAGCAAGCAAGCTTGGACTGACATCATACAGTGCCTTCCTGATTACTATCGTGGAAGTTGCATATTACTAACCACTAGTCACCTCAACCGATATAACTACCGACACAAGTATATCCATAACATGACTTTGCTAGATCCAAAAGAAAGCTGGGAACTATTTTGTAATATCCTTTCTATTGAAGAGCACTTGGCCCCTAAGTTTGAAAAAATTAGGAACCGTGTTGTGGAGAAATGTGATGGATTACCACAATTAATTGTTGAAGTTGCAAAGCGTTTATCTAAATGCAACAACATACAACAAGGGTGGAAAAAGATTGAAAAGGAATTAGAGTCATTGGGACTTCTAGATCGCAATGCACTTAGTGTTAGTTACAATATGTTGCCACATCATTTGAAAGTTTGCTTTCTATACTTTGGAGTCTTCCCAAAACGTAAAAAAATTCTGGTTAAAATGCTTATAAGGTTGTGGATTGCTGAGGGATTTGTGGAGCCATTGAAACATGAGTTAGAAGATCAAGCTTATGAGTACTTACAAGAGCTTATTGATAGAAGCCTTCTCTTAATTGAAGATCGAAGTTGTAACGGCAAAATCAAGACTTGTAGAACGCACAGTGCCTTACATAGCTTCTGCGTAGGAGAAGCTCAGAAAGGAGGTATTTTATGTGCAGTAAATACTCAACAACATTCAGGATTGCCAATAAAAGCATTCGCAAATTCCTGTCGTTGGCTAAGTTTTTACTCCCACAGTTTTGACTATTATGTGCTCTTTGGTATAAACATCCCTCGCTCCATTTTCTTCTTTCATGAAAATCTTGAAATGTTTGTTCCTCCTAAGCTGTTGAGAGTTTTGGCTTTTGATACTTCTTTATCACTTCAAAGAGTGCCAGTGCAGTTAGGAGGTTTAGTTTTTCTGAGATACCTATCCATAACGCAATGGTTTGAGGATCTGGATCATGTAGTGTCAAATAATCCAAATTTAGAGACACTTGTTGTTTCCGGTAATGGAGCACCAACAGTCCATTTGCCATCTAGTATTTGGAAACCACCAAACTTAAGGCATCTCGAACTTGGCAATTCATATATGGTAGATCCTCCAAGTGCAAATAAAACGAATTTACAAACATTATCTTGGGTGTTGAGACCACTTCATTGCAGAAGACAGCTGTACAGCAAGTTCCCTAAGATAAAAAATCTGAAAATTTTGCTGAAGGATGACATAGAGCCCAGTCACATTGGAGGATGTTGCAGCAATCCTATTATTTTGGATCATTTTGACTATTTGAAAGCGGTTGAGAAGCTTAGCATTTCAGTTTCTATTGGTTGCAATGCAGCCCTTCCAGAACAGTGTATGTATCCTTCAGGACTGAAGAAGTTGAAGTTGAGTGGGACTAATATTTCTGAGAGGGATTTAAATGTAATTGCCATGCTACCCCAGCTTAAGGTGCTCAAGTTGGAAAATGCCTTCCATGGAACAGTATGGGAAGTAGCTGAAGGAGGATTTCGTCAATTAATATTCTTGCTCCTTGAAGCTAAAGAACTCAAGCAGTTGGTAGCTAACTTCCGTGATCACTTTAGGGAGCTGCGACGCTTAGTCTTAAGATCTTGTAATTGTTTGGAACAGATGCCAAAGGATTTTACAGGTAAGTTGGAGTCAATTGAGTTGAAGGGGTGTCACTCTTCCCTTGTTGCTTCTGCCATGCAGTTACAACAGAAGAGAAGATCCAAGGATCTTGAGGTTAGAAGCTAAAGCAGTTTCATTCTTAATTTTTATTTCTTTCTATTCAATGCTGATTATATTTATTTTATTTTTTTATTTTTTACAAAATCAGTTACTATTTTATTTTTCTGATCTCATTTTGTTTTCTGCATTATTTTTCACAGATCAAAATTTTGGACCCGAAATATGATGAATCACAGAATACACATAGAAGTGTCTATGTAAGACGACTTGTGCAGCATCTAGGATATAACTGTTAGAAAATGGTATGTGTTAGGTTGCAAGTGCTGATTTTTCAATTGTGTAATTTTTGCATTTCGAATCAGGCTTGTATAGTTTTATATACAAAATATAAATTCTTATTTATAATTTAGAATAATATCATTCCATGACCAAGTTATAACCTGAAAGAACATCAGGGGTGGGGATGGGAATGTATTGCTTACTTGTACAGATATATTGATGGTTTAATTTGGTTGTTTCCTTGGACCTCAGCTCTGGAAATGTGCAGTCAAAATGACACTATGATCTAATTCAATAACGTAATTGAAAGATGCAGTATTGCTTAACCTGGTTTTGTCACTGTAGTGTTGTCACTTGTCAATGCGATTAAATAGCTCATGTAGTTACTTTCTATGGTTAAAAGTTAATGATTCCTCATGAATGCAATAAACTTACTACGACGTCATTATGCATGATTACTATTGCAGAGTATCCAGAAGTTGGTAATAGATGGTACTAAAACATGGGCTCAAGAGCTTTCCGTCAAAAACACAGTGATTGACGTTTTATCACCAAACATAGTGAAACAGATCTAATGTTTGATGTTTCGTCTTTTTGAAGAAATCATGTTGGTGACTGGGTGCCAAGCAGGTAAATTCATATTTCATCTGGTGCCTATATGGGATGATTAATATACTACTTCACATCTCTGTTTCTGTTTATATTATGTTTTGCAATTAATCCCAAGTACAAATATGCGTTTGCAGATTGGTATATGCTAATTTAATGCCATTTTGAAAAATTGTCAATCTAGGAAGCTGCTAGTCTCAAGTATTGAAGATCTAGAGGTATGGGGAATTGCTTTCTAATAGAAGGATATGTTCTGTCTAAACTTGGCTAATTAATATTGATTTGCAAGGCTAAGTATAATTCTAAAACCTTCTTCATGAGATTCATAACATCTGTTTCATGAATTCTGTAAGGTATTAAATCAAAGATTTTATGGTGATCTTGGTTTCTAAGAGAGCGCTTTCAAATCCTGTAGTTAGTTTTCAAGTGATTTTTTCTAATGTGCTGTCGTATATTGTCTCAAACTGTCTTATAGAAAAGAAAATACAAAGTCCTATAAATAGATGCTAGAAGACTACGAATAGGAAACAAGTTTCCTATATGCCTTCCTACCTAAATCCCTAAGACTGCCTAATCTATAGAGATTTCATATATCAAATATATATTCCATAACATCTTTCAAGTTACTGAATGCTCTAGACTATAGATGCATCATGTTCTTGAAATTACTTGCAAAAATTGTATTCTTCAAAGAGGTTGCAGAACCAGCAAAATAAGCATGCCTATCCCCAACAGAGTATGAAAAGTTTGTTAACAAAGAAATTTTATTAGGCTGATGTTTCTTTGTACTTTAATTTCATAACTATTGAACCTCATTCATCAACTACTAATTATATTCTATTAATTCGAAGATAAAATAGGATTACTATTTCAGTTAGGAAAAATACCTAGGATAAATGGACTAAATGTTCAATTTTCCAACAACTAAAGTATGGAATAAAAAATGGGGAAGCTGTATTTCTCTAGAATCACAGAATGAAATTATCTCACAAAACTTACACCTCTACAGTTGCTAAGAACTCTGCAATTTGTTTTAATGATAATGTGTTTCTTGCATCCTTTTCAGTGTAAACAGGGTAGTGAGGAGAGTTTGAAAAGGTTTACCAGTGACTTGGAGAACGGCTTCTATGGAAAAGTATGGAAGAGTTGCTTTAGTGTTTAATAGAAATTTTTAGCCTGCCGTCAATTAAGTTGGATCAGTGTGGCCCTTCTGTTGTTGCTTTTGCTAAGCAGATTTGAGACTGGCAAGTTGAAATGGGAAATTGCAATTTTGAGGTTAGACGCTACAACATGTGATCCATTCTCAATTATGTAATTCTTTGCTATTCCATATGGATGCTAACTTTCTTTACAAACTTGTTATTATTTCTTTTTTTTCTTTTTTTTTTTTTTTGATCTCATTTTGTTTTCTCTATTTTGCACTATTTTTTCATAGATCGAAATCCCTGAATATGATGGATCACAGGTAGAAGAGTCTGTACTAGGCGACTTGAATTGGTCTGGCTCACAGTGAATTAAAATGGTATGTGTCAGGCTTCATTTGTCTTCGTACCTGCATGCCAAATGAAATGAAATGGTGTTGCTGCCTTGTTGAGATAATTGAAGGTTACAAATGATAATTGCTCTTGATTGACAAACAAAGTTTTAATGGAAAAATCAAGACTTGAAGAATGCATAGTGATTTGCATAGCTTGTGTAGGAAAAGCTCAGAAAGAAGGTATTTTTATGTGCAGTAAATACTCAACAACATTCAGGATTGCCATTAAAAGTGTTTGCAAATTCCTGTCATTAGCTAAGTTTTTACTCACACAGTTTTGACTATTATGTGCTTGATTTTTTACTCTGTATTTCTTTTCTATTCAACGATGACTTTCTTTACAAAATCAGTTATTATTTATTTTTCTGATCTCATTTCGTTTTCGATCTACATTGCTTTTTCATAGGTCAAAATCCCGGGCACTATATATGATGAATCACAGAGTACAGATACACAAGTGTCTGCAAAAGAAGACATACCCTCTTGGAGTGAATTACTGTTAACGTACTGTTGTTACAAATGATACATGGGCTCCTGCTTTCAAATCCTGTAGTCTGTTTTCAGGTGATGTTCTTTTTTTAATCCATATCATTTTATTTTAAGTTAGAATGCTTTAAACTATAGATGCATTGTATTCTTGAATTAGCTTAGCTTGCAGAAAAATTGTATTCTTAAATAAATATGGTGCTAATCACATATCAAATAGGTTCCTATTTCTGTTAGGAGTTTTATGTGATTCTTTAAATCTGCAAAAGTTATAGATAGGGATATGGTGAAGAGAAAGTAGAGTACATGATATCCATTACTGATTGAAATGGTTTTTGATGTAAGAATTTGAAGGATGACACTATGGACAAATTCAATAACATAAATTCATGTATATGTACACAGATACATTTCTGCCAATTATTGCTGTACTTGGTTTTGTCACTATAGTATTGTCAAGGTCTCAAGGAAATGGGAAGCTGCAAGTGCTCAAGTATTGAAGATCTAGAGGTAAGAGGAGTTGTTTGTTTATTTCGTTCTACCTTTGGATAATTGGTATTGATTTGCTAGGCTAAGTGTAATTCTAAAAACTTCTTCATGAGATTGGTACCGGCGACCATGCATGCATTGAATAAAAAATAAATGGTGTAGTCAGTTTATCCTCACCTGCGACCATATCAAATGGACAATATGATAGTGTGGTGAGTTTATCCAATCCTCACCGAACATTGAAAAGGAGATGGATGCACTGCAAGTTGGTCATTTGTAGGTGATGTACCGTCGTCATTGGTGAAGCACTTGCCAGTATATATGCTCAAGTTAACTAATAATGTTGATGTTTTTCAAAGAAATCATGTTGGTGGTTGTGGCATGCATGCGTGTTGCCTAGCTATATGATCGACCGATTTTGACATTTACACGTCTGTTTCTTTTCTGTTTTAATTTGCTGCGAGCGATTATATTCATTCTTTATTTTAATATGCATGCTTTTGCAGATTGGTGTGCTAATTTAATGCCTTGCTGGAAAGTTTCTAAACTGGGAATGAAGCTGCTGCCTGATAGTGCTCTCAAGTTATTGGAGATCAGATGTAGATCGAGGCTGGTAAGAAGAATTGATTGGTTATTTTGTTGTGTCTGTGCCTGCAGGTTGTTATTGATTTGCAAGGCTAGCTAATCAAGTACTACGTATAATATAATTTTGAAAACTTGTCTGGTCTTATTTTTTTATTTTTTATTTTTTGGAAAAGAATCAATTTTATTGATTAATCAAACGAGGGGCAGCAGGCCCCCTGTAATCGTATAGAAAAACACTTTGCACTGAAGCCAGCAATGATAACAAACCAAAAAACAAAGAAGGGTAAGACCAACATATGCTAAATGCAGCTAGCTCATCAGCCACCTGGTTCGCCTCACGGTAAATATTGTTGGAGTTAGCATCCAATAAAGTGTAGTTGCCTTTCAACCTTTGTCCCACATTGCTTTCCTTGGAGTTATTTTCCCTCTTTTTAAATACCAACCTTTTTAGTCTTTAGAGCATTTGAAATATTTGGAGGGAGAGAAAGGGGAACCCCACGCGCCGCCGGGCTCGGTTCGCATGGTGTGGTGTTGAGCATCAGCTTAGTCTTTTAGTTGAGATAGAACACATGCTTCAATTTGGTATCAGAGCCAGACCAAAGGTCATGGGTTGGGTTCAAATCTCTACGTCACCCGAGTCTCTTTTAGTTGAGATAGAACACATGCTTCAATTTGGTATCAGAGCCAGACCAAAGGTCATGGGTTGGGTTCAAATCTCTACGTCACCCGAGTCTTTTAGTTGAGATAGAGCACATGCTTCAATTTGGTATCAGAGCCAGACCAAAGGTCATGGGTTCGAATCTCTACGTCACCCGATAAGAGACTACGGTCCACGTGTTGTTTTGTGGCAACTTTTTACACGCCTTCTATTTTATATTTGATATTCTTTGACAAACAAATAAATGTTTGTGGATGATTATATTTGCAGGCAGGGCATGAAGGGTAAACTTGGTCAATCTCACATAATTGAGAGTTGTGGATGGGTTCCTAGCTTGTGAATGTAAGATGCTATTGCAGAGTTTCCAAAATATATATGGTATAGATGGTATTGAAACTAACATAGGCTGAAGAGCCCTACCAAATGGACAATATAATATATGGTGTAGTCAGTTTGTCAACAACTAACAGTATGAAATAAAAAATGGAGAAGTTTAGAATCGCCTTATGAAATTATCCTACAAAACTTACACATCTACATAAAGTTGCTAACAACTCTGCAAGTTGTTTCTATGATGATGATGTTTTTGTTGCATTCTTTTCACTATAAACAGGTAGTTAAGTTGGATTGGTGTAATGTGGCCCTTCCATTGTGGCTTTTGCTAAGCAGATTCTAGATTAGCAAGTTGAATTGGGGAACTACATTTTTTAGGTTAGAAGCTACATCATATGATCTATTTCTTTTCTATTCCATAAGAATGCTAACTTTCTTTACCAACTTAGGTTGTGGTTATTATTATTATTATTATTATTATTATTATTATTATTATTATTATTATTATTATTATTATTATTTCTGATCTCATTTCGTTTTCTCCATTTTGCATTATTTTCATAGATAAAAAACCAGGGGCCTGTGAATATGATGAACCACAAATAGAAGAGTGCGTAGAAGATGACTTGGTGTTTGCAGTGAATGATTAGAAATATGGTATGTACACGGATACACATCTCATGTCTGCCAATTATATCCAACATACTTTATGATCTATTATAAAACATGACTAGTTTTATGGGTTCTTTTTCAAAAAAAATGCATTTGATATTCTTTGACAGCCAAATGTTTCTCATTTGCAAGGCATTAAGGATAAACTTCCTCAATCCCCCATAATTGAGAGTTGTGGCTTCCTGTCAAATGGACAATGGTCAGTTTTTCTTCTCCTAACATTGTGAAGGAGATCAATGTATGTTGGTAATTTATGATGTACTGTCATTGATGAAACCTTTGCCAGTATGCTTGAGTTAACTAATGATGTTGCCGGGATGTGGAGGCAATTCCACATTTTTGTCGCAAGAGTTAACTAATGATGTTTATTTTGTTCTGTCTCTGCCATAATATTGATAATGATTTGCAAGGCTAATTGAATGCTCTAGACATCTCTGATCATACTATATGTGATTCAAACAAAGGGCTTTAGATCCTGTAGTCATTCTTCAGGTGAGGTTTTAACCATTTTGTTTTAAGCAATTGAATTCTATAGACTATAGGTGCATCGTGAGATTGATTACATCCATTTCAGGCATTTTTTAAGGCATCAAATCAAATATTTGACAGCCATCCTGGTTTCAAAAAACATCGCTCTCAAATCCTAAAGTTAGTCCTCAGGTAATTTTTTTTACCATTTTATTTTAAGCAACTGAATGCTCTAGACTGCAGATAATGCATTGTATGAAATGGCTTGCAGAAAAATTGTGTTCTTTATAGAGGTTGTAGAGCCTGCAGAATAAGCATGCTTTTCCACAACAGAGAGAATGGATCGGAAAGTTTTTTAATAGAGAAATTATACTTGACTGATATTGCTTCAATTTGTATTTTACCTTTGACACACAGACAAATAGTTTCTCATTTGCAGGCGATTAAAGATGACTTAGAGCCCAATATATAATGTCACTTGTGGTTGTGGATTGGGAAAGGCCGCTGCATCCATTACGATGAAGAATGTTACGTTTGAGGTTAGAAGCTACGTATAGTACAACATGCTTCAATTCATTCTTAATTTTATATTTTCTTTATAAAAGCTTTTACTATTTCTTTCTCTGATCTTATTTCGTTGTCTTATTTTTCTATAGATCAAAATCATGGGACTTGATTATGAGGAATTACTACTGTATCCACATGTAGAAGATGACTTGACAGAGCTCACAGGTGAATTTACTGTTGTTTGAAAAGTGGTACTTATGCAAAGACATATTGCAACTAACATACTATTTGATCTATATATATATAATAAAACATGACTAGTTTTCTGGTTTCTCATTCAAAAGCTATTCTTGGAATTGACAGCCAAATATTTCTCATTTGTAGGGCATTAAGCATAAACTTGCTCAATCCCAACCAAATAATCGAAAGATGCAGTATGATCACACCTGGTTTTGTGAATATACTATTCTCAAGGCAATGGATAGCTGAATAGTATGCTACTATCTTTAATTTGGTCAAGATGTTATTGCAGAATATCAAAAATATGCTAATAGATGGTGTTGAGAGTTGAGACACAAGCTTAGGAGCTTCCTGTCATTGGTGAAATCCCCACTTGCTAGTATGCTTGAGTTAACTAATATTGATGGTTTTTAAAGGATTTGTGTTGGTGGCTGTAAAGTAGCAGGCAAGTTTATCATGGTGCCTAGCTATATGAGATGATGATATGAGTTTACATCTAGGTTTGTTTTCTATTTTAATTTGCAATTAAGTTTTTGTTTGCAGATTGGTGTGCTATGTTGTAGAAAAATTTCTATTCATGATTATCTAGATTTTTTTGGCTATCTAAATACTCTTTACTTTTGAGTCTTTGTAGATATATATGCTTACTTGCAAGAAGTTCCCCTATAACTAATATTTCATTTCATACATGTTTACACTTTTTTTGGTTAGACCACGCAGTGCTCTGAATAAATCCTGTTGAATCCTAGTAGGAGTGTGCTTAATTTTCTATTCCTATTAGGAATGATTTAATCCCCATGTTCTTATAAATATAGGATCCTTGCATAGTTAATATATGGTGAAGTATAAAGTACAGAGAGTCAATCTATTGCAATATTTCATTATAATATATTCTTTCTATTCAATTTTTCTTTGGTTTCTCACATATTTTGCTTCCGCCTAATTGACGGGTGGTTTTATTCTCCACCTGCCAAGCCTTTCAATCCCTCAATTAATACATGTTTACACTTTTTGTTCACACAAAAAAAAAAAAGTGATTTTAAGTTTCTCCTGTTACTCAAAAATTAATGATAGATTTTTTATACCTACCAGGAAGATTAAGGATATAACCTATGCTATTTGTCTTCTTTCTTTATTTTTTTTTTTTTTTTTTTTTTTAATAGTATTTTGATTCGTGTTTATCCTTGATTGCTTTTTGCCATTTGATCTAATGAAAGTGGACCAAATAGGAGTTTAAGACGAAGATGTTTCTCCATAAACAAGTAGTAGGTGTATTAGGACTTTATGTATATGAGTCTGTTTAGAACTTCTTATCCTTGTCACATTGTGACTCTCTACTTCGTATCATTGTCACACTGTGACTCTCTATTATATATATTCAGATCATCTGATCTCATTGTAATCAAGTTCAAAAAATATAATACAATCAGTTCTCATCTGGTATCAGTTAGCTAGGGTTTTTGTGATTCATAAAATCAAGAAGATGCAGCGTTGCAATGGCAACCTTAATTACCGTGGAGGTCAGCAACGTGGCTTCGATGATCCGTGTCAAATCTATAAAGGTTTCGGCCACACAGGAGTCAATTGTTTTTGGCGCTATGATGATCCGTGTCAAATTTGTAAACGTTTTGGTCACACGGGAGCCAATTGTTTTTGGCGCTATGATGATCCGTGTCAAATTTGTAAACGTTTTGGTCACACGGGAGCCAATTGTTTTTGGCGCTATAATGATCCGTGTCAAATTTGCAAAAGTTTCGGTCACACGGGAGTCAACTGTTTTCGGCGATATTCAGGGGCTCCGGGTTCTCAGGCTAATTTGGTGTTTCAGAATGGTTTAGTTGCTAAAACCTCGTCAAATTCTCATACTTGGGTTCCAGACACTGGAGCCACAAATCATGCAACTCCGAACATCGCTGCCCTTTCTACATCGGAGAAGTA